AGTGCAAGTTACTTGTTTTACACATTGTGATAAATTAGAAACGCGACTTCGAGGAAACTTGAATTTCAACGTGCCGCCATGTTGGGTCTTGCAGTGTGACCTTTACCGCGTTGACCTCATTATAATATTTGTCATGAATATTTAATAGCAATGAATTTCCTGCAGAATAAACCAGTCGGGGTGATTTCGCGCTAACACCTCCATTTTGCGATTTTATTTTATTTTATTTTATTTAAACTACAAAAACAAATTAATCGCTTCGACTGCGCCAGTCTAAGTATAAGCGTTCTCATTAACATAAGAAACGTGCAATATGTCAAGTCAGTAGAAGACCATAGTGTCACGCGTTTTGTTCAAATTAAAAATAGGACACTTCGATGTTTTTATCTGGGAAGTTCTGGGAACTTCGTCACGCTTGATTGATATCACTTACACGTAGAGATATCAATTTCAAATGAATGCACATTAGTTTATTATATATCGTCCAGTTTTATTCTTCCCATTCCAATTCCCCTTCTCTCCCTCTTCTCTTACAAAACGTTACAAACGTTCTATATTAAAAGTCAAGTCTCTGAGTCGTGGCAAAGTAAACATGCGATCAGCCAATTGCTGCAGTCGTTGGTACGATCACGTGATTACCAGGGATGTGTCTCACGGTTAAAGCCTTGAAAAGTTGCACTACTAAATACAATAATTAAACAATCTATTATTCAGATTCATGTAATATATGTTTATAATCTTCACCCAAAACATGCCATTTGTTGATTATAAACAATTGTGCAACGGCGTGTGAACCGAATTTGCGAACGTGAAGTCGCTATCATAACAAAAGTGTCAAATTATTCATTGGTAATACTACAGTGTATTTTCAAAATGATGGTAATAAATTATCGATGACTTGTAAGTCAGAAAATAGTCTCAATATACCATACAATACAATACAACTACGAAACAATTCTCTAGCTGCAGTAACCACGCATTTATTTATTTCTATAATTTTCATGTTCATGTATTCCTTGTAACTATTGAATGAATAACTAAGTTGTTATCAAACTTGTTGTAATTTCTAAAAGCCAATAGATCAATTAAGGCAATTCAGAAAAGTACTGATAAATATAATTTCCTCTGAATAAATTGGTCGTTAAATGTCACAACTTGTAAAAGTAATGTATTAAAAATATATAACGCGCTAACTAGTCAACTTACTTAAAACTATTGTATTTACTAAGCTTTGTTAATAATTGGCCATATCTCAGAATGACGTCAGCATTATATTGAGCTGTGAGAAATATGACAACGTGAATGGTTTATTTTCTGAAGCTACCACGAAATTGAATATAAATATGTTCCGTGAACGTCAACATTAGTACAGCAATAAGTCTTCATCTCGTTCAGATGTTCTGAGTGAAAAACGATAGTACAATGTTATAAACTCAATGCTACAGTTATTGTAACAGTCGTGTTCACAAGAGTAAAATGTTTTGTATGTTCTAATCATTGTTTCATTGCATACATGTACTATAACATGACATGGCACAGAATACATTTTTGTAATGAATAAAGTAAAATATAAATATCATATCAATCGATGTAATCTGTAAAAAAAGCATTATGCTGCTCAGTATTTACCTTTGTCGTGTTTATTATCTCATATGTAGATTGTGTGTTTCTTGTTTCTGGTGAAAGGGAAGTAAAATTACTGTCTTCAACGTTCTACAATGAAACATAATGTACTACAATATTTATTCACCTTCATGATTCATTCGGGCTATTAGTCATTTGAAAAGCAATCAAGTATTTGTAATCTTCTATAACCTAATATTAAAATGTCATTCAATACTTCCATAATGTTTTCACTTTGTTACTGTATGCGATTATTAACTCTTACCTCATCTGCCTTTAATGTAGGTTGTATATATACATGTACTGCATCTTTAGTCATTGTATAAAGTGTTGTATAATTATCACGTGAGTTCGACATAGACTTTAAAAGAAAAGACAAAATACCTACATAAAACAATAAATTTCTCGAAAAATAAAAACTGTTTTAAACGAATACACGGATATATATTTCCACCGTTTTTACGAGGATGATTTTGCCGATAACATTATCAAGACATGTCTGATTTAATTACTTAAATATATTGTGTGTAGTAGGAAACCTAAATTATTCTATGTGGATGAGTTATTGTTATAAAATATATTTTCAATATCCACGCTATGTACCACATAGAAAACATTAATCTTCATTATTAAACATGGAACAAACCTGTTCTGTGCTTCGCTTAAGACGTCTTTTTATAACAATGGTGAAGACATTCGCTGTCACTGAGCAACAAAGAAGAACTGTAAGTAATACCGCCATACCGACACTCACGTTGCAGGAATTCTGATCAGTTGCTGGAATAATTTACAAACACAGCACATGCGGTGTGAATAAATATAATATTACGTCATCGGTTTTTACAATATTGACAATTGTTATCGTCATCTAAATTACATATGCATTGCGCTTATGTATATACAGATCGCCATATGTTTAATACATTGAATACGGGCGGTGAATTTACGTCTTTTATCTACGATAATGTGTATTCAATACCTATAAATGTTCAAATATTATATGTTAGTACTGCAATATCAAAATTAGATAATATATTAATATATCATTAATATCTGTAAAGAGAGGTATGATTAACTCTGCCGTGAAGCTTACCTGATCCCGTTGCCTGGACTTCAATATTGGCGTATGATTCTCCAAGTTGACAGCGATAAGTATTGACACCTTGTGCATCAAATACAGTTAACGTTGTTGTCTGTTCATCACCTTCCACTGGATCAATATCATAGCCTTCATAAGAAAGATCTAATTGTGTGTAATTTGAACCATCCTGTAGAAACCATTTCCAACTCTCGTTATCGGGAAATGGTGGTATAGCATCTGTGCCGCACTCTAACACGGCGTCAGACCCTGCTTCGATTATACGGAGACTTGAGTCAGTGATAGCTTTAACCAGTGGTTCATCTGCAAAATAGAACACAGTAAGTTATAAGTATGACAAATATGTTATATATACGCAATTAACGCATGTAATGTTAATGTAGAAATGTCACTAGCCCTATCAATGTATACATATCTAATTCGTAATGTTAATTCATAGCTTATCATGAAATAAACAGAATCACATATCATGACCGTGTGTATGGGCAGTGTAGAACCGACTCTTGAAACGACATGCGTTCTTTAGCAGAGAATGGGTTTACAGAGGGAGCTACAAAACCATGCTAAATTCCGGCCAGTGGAATAATATTACAAAGTGGTCGTATACAATCCCAAAAACATGGATTTTTGTTAACCAATTGTGGTATTTAAGAATTGATGAGTTTAATCACCACATTTGAATATTTTAATATAATGTGTTTATTTGTCAGAATAAAAA